GGAGAGGAACGAGAACAACTTGGGAGGTAACGTAAACGAGAACAAGTTTACAAGTCAAATGAAAATCAAATAGAAAAATGAAACAATAAACAATCAATACAGTTTAGGTTCAATTCAGATCAGGCATAATTCATCGAAGTGGGGTATATCGAAATAACACCCAGCGTTAAACAACAACACATACAAAGGAAAACAAAAAAAAAAACAACATAAGCAATGAAATCAACGCATACAATAAGTAAACGTCTCCAAATTTGGTTAAGTTCACCGATTACTGGGATTGATCACGGGTACAAACCCGATTCCATCTGGAGAAATAGTTCGGAGTCATTCTTTAAATATAATAGTAATGATACCTTAATTGATTAATTAATGCGAAGAGGAAGAAGGATATTGTACTATTATTATTATTATTATTATTATTATAATTCAGATTCTTATTCTTAATTATTATTATCAAAGTACTTATTATTATTATTATTATTATTATTATTATTTACATTCTTCATTCCTATACACAAAACAACACAAATGCTGAACACTATGAGCAAAACAATATCGAACGATTTGTATTCACAAGGTGATAAAGACCAAGCAAATAACGAGTAACTGATATCACTATGACTGCGAACATTATCAATAACTGCAAAACTCCACAAAATTTTCAGCAGAACTTTCTAAGCCCGTCAACCTACTAGTTGCGTTCATATTCATGGACATATTAAGTGAACTTCAAAACTTATCAATTTCAGATACGGGAGTATCTCGAAGGTTAATGTCGATGAGTGGCAGTGTGATTAAGGCAAAGAATGCTGCAAACGACGATGAAAAATGCCATAGGTCATGCATGTCATAAAAATTCATCAAAACGCATGGTCGATTCAACGTGCGACTCTGAGCCGCGGTCATCTGAAAATCGTTGAATATGACTTTAACAATACATATGATTTATCGTTAGCTGCGCGGAAAGAAGAATGCCAAGGAAGGAAGAATGTGATATTAGTGATA